CACACACACACACACACACACACACACACACACACACACACACACACGGTTCCCACGTCCCCAAACCTGCCCCAGCACGACTGGATACTATGCGTCCCTTGGGGGACACTGTGCCAGGCTCCTAGTGCCAGAGGCGGCCACACTCCCTGCTTCACCCTGGTGAGGAATCTCAGGGTCTGGGAAGCAGAGCTCCCCAGGCCACACGGCCGCCCTGACCATCCTGCTCGTGGCCGTCCACACCTCCAATGTCACGGTGGACACACATCCCCGGCTTGAGGCGTAGGTGGGGTCACGTCTTCTGTTTTCTAACTTATTGAGCTCACAGTCGCCTTTTAAGCAGAAGTACCCCTGCCTTGGGCATCCCTCTTTCCCTGTCCCTCAACTCCTTCAGAAAACTGGGTCCTCACTCAGGTCCAGGGGCGCCCATCTCACTTCCAGATGCCAGGAATAGAGGAATAGAAGTTCATGTGGTGTCCTGGCCTGGCGCTCTCCCAGTGTGGCTGCTGGGTTTCCCTCTGGGCCTTTTGGGGGCCCTTCTATGGCCAAATGTCTTGACCAAGACCCCCAACAGGGGGCCCCAGGCTTTGACCTTGGGCCTCGCTCTCCCCACCCAGAAGACCAGGCGTCCCAGGGCAGCCCCAACTCACCCCTTCCTCCCACCCCCGCAGGCTGGTGAGCGAGGTAGAGGAGCTGAACCTGTCCCTGGCGGCTCTGAGGGAGAAGCTTCTGGAAGCAGAGCAGTCCCTGCACAACTTGGAGGACACGCGCATGAGCCTGGAGAAGGACATCGCTGTCAAGACGAACAGCCTCTTCATCGACCGCCAGAAGTGCATGGCCCACCGCACCCGCTACCCCACCGTCCTCCAGCTGGCGGGCTACCAGTGACCGGGCGGGCACCCTGGCGGGCGCAGAGACCCATCTCCCCCTCAAATAAAGAGCATGTTAGCTTTCTACTCAGAGAGTGTACCTGGACAGGTGGGCTTTGCCTGTTGACCCCATGTTTCAGCCATGGTGGGCCAGGGGTCTCCTGCTTGGGGCGCCCCCAGTCACCACCTGGGGAGAGGGGTCAGCCAAGAACCGTCGAGGCCCCCCCTCATTGCTCACTGCTGACCACACGGGGCACAGCCAAAGCATTGACAGTTTCTCTGCCCACCTGGGCCACCTGCTGGATGCTTCAGAGGGAGTGTCACCTCCTGTCACCACTTGTCACAGGCTCTGGTGGCCGCAGTGATAACTGAAGCCCTGCTCCTTTTCCTCCATGTGCCCTGGACGCTGTCACTGGAGGCCAGCCGGCACTCCCCTCATTAGTGGGGGGTGAGCCTGGAGCAGCGGTGTCAGAACACGCTGCTGGCCCAGCTCTCCCCTGAGGGACTTGGCCCCCAGGCTGTGAGGGGCCACGCAGGGCGGGGCCTGGGGCAGTGACCACCGGGGGAACTGTGGGACCTCTCCCTGCCACTCCCACCCGGCACAGGGTGTGCACCAGACCCTGAGCTGGGGGGTGGAGGGTCAGGGCTGGAGGGGCCTCCACCCCCAGCACCTTGGTCACCTCTGTGGCCAGGCTCCTCATCCAGCCCCCTCCTTAGCCAGCAAGTGAGTCAGGCCGGGCTGTGGGCGGGTGGGTGAGGGCCACAGAGCCCTGCTGCCCACCTGGCCCCACACTCTGTGTCCATGGCTCTGGGCAGAACTGGGCACAGCATCAGGGACTACCCACAAGCAGGGCCAGGTGCTCTCACGGTGGCCATGAGGCTCTCTCACTGTGCCCCCTGGGGACGAGCTCCAGGCCACTGGCCCCTCGCCCATGGCAGCTCATCAACAGGACTCGGGAAGTGTCCATTAAGAGGCTGGGAGATAATAACTCGGCCGCATGCACACCAGCCACTCAGAGCCCCATTACCGCCTGAGGCCGAGGCGGGCTGGCTGTGTAGCACAGCGTCCCCATCAGCAGCTACGAGGGCCTCCTTGTCCCTGCGCCCCACCCCTGCCGGGTGGCTGCTAATGGGGAGCTAAGTGGAGGTGCTGTGCGAAGGTCATTATCTCCAAAGCTGGGAGGGCTCGGGTACAGCCCCAGGGGGCCGGGCACTCGTTGCCTGCAATTGTCTCATGACCACCCGTGAGCTGGCACTTGTGTCCCCTTGTAGAGACGAATGACCAGGCCCTGGAGCTGATGGGTAGCTCTGGGCCACACGGCGAATTCCTGAGGCTGCGGCTGCGTCTCACTGGAGAATTAGCCTCCCTGGGGAGTCTGGAGGGTGGCCAGATGGCTACACCCACCCACAGGGATTCGGCCCCTGCAGGAGTGGGGAGCGGGGAGTCACGGGGGGACATCAGGGCCCTGAGGGTGGCTGAAGCCTGCGGCATTTCCATCCACCACAGAGGACACTCTGGCCACTCTGAGTCCACTGGTGCCCATTTAACAGGTTGGGAAACCGAGGTCAGATGCAGGGAGCAGCAGAGCTTGGGCGTCTGCCCTTCTCTGGGAGCCCCAGAAACCCCAGAGACAAGAGTGGGGCAGGCAGAGAGGAGCTTCCGCAGGTTGACTGAGGCCAGTCAGCAGCTCCCGCTGGAGCCTGGACTAATCCAGCCCTGGGTGATGCCTACAGAAAGCCCTCCGTCCAGGCCACCCACATCCAGATTCCATCAGTGGTTGCTGACAAGGCGTGGGAGGCCACCGAGCCCCACTGGAGTGTGAACTGGCATCTCAGGGAGGCCGGGGGATATCTGGGAACCGGCTCCAGCTGGCATGATCTCCCGACCACAGCCCTCACCAGCTCTGCTCCCCTTCAGCCTGGCACGAGAAGCCCCTCAGTCTTGCCCTCTACCCTCATCCTTGCCCCCTCCCTGGTCATCAGTGAGGAGTGCCAACATGGGGAGCCTGAGGGGAGAGCCGGACCCGGGGCTGTGCCTGCATGTGCAGAGGCGAGAGAGCCAGCCCCAGCTGCCCACGGCCTCTCTTCCGGCACAGCGGCCACAGCTTCCCAAGCCACATCTGTGCCTCCCTCTGCCAGGCAGCCTGGCTTGGTGGTGGTGGTGGGGCGCTTCCCAGGGAGTCACATGTCCCCGTGCTCAGAGGCTGAGGCGCCAGGCCCTGCCCCTGGACCTAGTATCCAGCTGCTCAGGCCCAGAGCAAGCATGAGGCCAGGCCCTGGTGTGGGCGTAGCCCACGCCTGCCACTGCCCGGGGGGCCCTGTGAGTCATTGCT